CCCCCCAATCCAATCTTTCTAACTCTCTTGAATTTCTCTCATGGACTATTCTATCCGATTTGGCTTGCACATCTAATCGAAACATTTTTTTGCCAGTGTTAGCTACAACGATCTGGTTCTGGTTCATTAGTTCCTATAATTTGAACATTACAAAAGCAGTGACCTTTGCTCATATTTCCACCAGAACTCCGACAAATTGGTGACCCATCTGCACAACAATAGCAACGCCAAGGCTTAGGAGACAAGTAGAAGCTTAAGAGTATGAAAATAAGGAAAAAAGATACTACGGGAGACAAGTTGATCTAAAAGCTACACCTCATGCTTAGATGTTAATTTTTAAACGGATAACTGATTGGTTTACGGTAAGTAAATTTCGTCCATCGCATGCAAGTGTAGCTATGTGATCGTCTAGTATGTCTATTAATTTTTCGAAACTATCCTTGATTTTGAAACCCACAACATAAAACAAAGCATGCTCATACCAGCATCATCATCTCTGCAATTTTTCTCACATGGCTTTTTATTATCTTATTTATAAGTACAATTGAACTTCCATAAATCAGGGTTGTGTTTAGATCCACTACAACTGAGCGCTTCAAACCAGTAACAGCACAAGTTCTGCAATAGTGATTTTGCGTTCCAATGGTGCGGTCAGAGTTAAATTGAAGGAACCGAAGTAGCACGCAAATAGCGTGCGAGATGACCAATCGTATTGATGAAACCATGTCAAGAAGAGGTAGTCTTACATGAGTTAATTAAATATCCCTAGACCACCATGATATGCAAGGATGCTCAAGGATCTAATGTTAGAACAGTTAGATAGGCAGTTAGGCGAGCTGCTTTAGGGGTGTGCGATAGACTTACCTCCACGTGGTGCGCTCTGGGCAACGTATGCCCATACGGCATAAAAGTCTATTAACCGGTAGTTGACTTCTGACTTCAAACTACCATGACACAACTGTATGTCATATTCAACTACTTCCACAGTACTCACCTCACCTTTTTTCTACCTCCATCTTTGAAACACTCTTCATTCCCCCCCCCCTCTCGACTTTTTTCCACTTTGATGTTCCTTCGCCTCTGCGAAGCCTGAAGTCAACTAAAGGGCTAATGCGAACTATCAGAACGCCTGCCATTTGATAAAAATAAATAAATATTACACATTAGAGTCAATAATCCAGACTGGTCTTGATTCACCCCTCTGGGGGAAACATGCGAAGACTTTAGTATTATTTATCGGTAAATTCTCGAACGATGTAACGATGGTTAGTCGAGTTTGATCCTAAAAAATCGGGTTTGGATTGTTTTCATTGCAATTTGTCTTTTGAAATAATCCTCTTTGAGTTCTTTTCAAGCCCTTTTTTAATAAAATTCATTATTTACAGACAGATTAAGTTAGCACCTATTATTAGGCACAGCTAGGATCAGAGACAGTCACGTAGTGTTCTCAAGGCAATTAGTTGGCTTCCGTGAAGGGAGCTTTAAATTCTCTCGTTTATTTATGGTCATGTTTTATTATTCAACTCTCTGTCACTTGAAAATGCGCTAATTTGAAGAAAGGTTGTTTGCACCACTTCCATCTTTCAATCCGATTTTTCTCCGTTTGCCTTTATTTAGTTGGTCTGTGTAAAACAGCGGTTGGATTTGAGATCAGTAGAGAATGGGGATATGTGATGGGTAGGTATTTTCCCCTCGATTTTTTTGTGTACACTTTGACTATCCAAGGTCGTTAATTGATTATTTTTCAGCTATTAAACTGTACCATAGCATGCCCTCTTCAGACTAACAAAATTGAAATAAAAGCGCTTTCAAATTTCAATGCGTACTAGTGAAACAATGAGGTTATGCTAACTAAACACTCAAAATAAAAAGGTAAATCTCAAGGTTACTTTTTGTCCATACCCCATTTCTTTCCTCCTCTTTTTACTCTCCTATTCTAATGGTAACCTGGAGATATTGAAGTAGTTCAATCAGAAACTGTTCAGAACTTGTTAACCAGACCAGGATTTTGGGATATCTGTTTTAATTGCCTTACTAACTACCATTTTAGTAGTCGAGCTTTTAGCATGTTTTTTTTTCCAACCCTGTTACAAATGAATCGACTAATACATATTTCCCCTTGAATTATAGGTTCCCATTGACATTCGATTTGATGATCTGCGCTTCCAAGTTCTGAATTCCCTCAAAGGGTATTGTGGTCCTCAATACAACGACCTTTTGGTTGGAGATGGGAACGAAAATGTCCGATTCTGGATTGTAGACGCGGCTCCTGGAGTACGTACACAGTTTATTATCTTTTGGACCCAACAAAATATTGTTGGATCGGGTTGTAATGCTTTGTTTTTTTTTCTTGTAGGAACCTCGTGAAATCGATTTTCAACAGGAGTTTCCGCTGCTACATTCTACCATTGAAGTGTCTTCCATTCTTCTACCTCAATGGCTAACTAAAGAAGGAAAGGAAAGTCCACGACTTCTGCGACTTCTTGTTGTTTGGCCGTCCACTTTCCGATACTGCAATACCAGCATACAAGTTGAACTGGATGCTTCTCTTTCTGAAGTTGTGAGCTCTGGTGCTTGGGCAGTGGGTGAAAATGGCCGAACCTCTTCTCTTAAGTCCTCCAAGTCGAAGAACTCGAAGGATGATGCGTCTAGGGAGCAGAATTCCTCGACGGGTCTTACGATTATGAAGTGCTTGGAGGTTAGCGCTTGATTATACTTTCTTTCTTAAATTCGAATGCGATCAAATAGTGATCAATTTGACTGATAATATTGATTAGAGGTTGGAGGCTTCATTTGCGTTTCCCGCCACATTTATCCTCAGCAGGTAAACACCCCTCATTTTGCTCTGTCCTTACTTTGGGCTTAATGGCTTACCTTAGTTCATGCACGCTCTCTGTCATTTTTCTGTGGTAAACAAACCCACAAAGCCAACATATATCAATCTCTTCTCTGACTTTTAAGCTATTATTCTTCGAAGCCGGTCCTCTGGAATGAGGCTTCGGCTATTGCAGGCTTTAGAGTCGAAATTTGATTCGATTTATGTGGCAGGTGCGTTGCTCATCTGCAAAAGTCAAATGAACGAAATAGCTTGGCTAATCTTATGGCGGGAGACAGAAATCGATTCTCTATTTCGGTATGCTCCAGATGAGGAGCAGTCCTTTTCTTAGCTAAGTCTTGAAAATGGTACTATTGACAATCTAACTGAGTAGGGCTATAGGGATGAAAAATCCCCCCCCCCAGCAGGAAGACAGAAATGCAAGGTGACGACCAGTTATGTTTTGGATGGTCGTAGAGGAAAAAAGGGTGGAAGATGACTGTAGGAAGGATGAATTGTGAGTAAAGACGGTCTAATGCACGTTTGGAGGGACTGTCTCGTTTAGACTTCTTTGTGAGTCATGAGATAGACTACAGTATATATGGGATGTGTTTAGGCAATTTCTTACGTATCTTTTACTCTAGGAGTTCAAGAAGTCCACCAAGGTGAATAAAATAGACAACTTTACTTGTCCCAAGTGCAAAAAATCCCAACAATCTGTCCTCCTGACAACAAAGATCGAACAGGCTCCAAACTACCTCCTCTTGCATCTCAAGCGATTCGTTCATATGCCCCTTTCTCCTGGAGTTAAGTTGCTTTTCGTGCACATTCTCTTCATTACTTTTCATCTGTGCTAATTTGCCATCACTTTTAGGCGCTAATAGCCTGATGAAAATCAATTCATTGGTGGATTATCCTATCGAAAATCTGAATCTTTCCCTCATGATGGATGCATCAACTAAGACGAAAAGTAGTAAGACTTCAAACTCATTTTAATTGAGAGCAATCACGATTTTTGAGTTAGCAATGCATGGAATTTTATTATTTACAAACTATTCGTCCCATCTCACAGTGAACCCATCATAAGCCATTCTGCCATTATTAAATATGAAATATTCGATGATTATACTCTTGTGAACTAAAGGTGATAAGTTAAAGTAGGATAAGATTGTAAATCATGGAAATTGGTGATCATGGGGTCTCACAAGCCCCCCTTCCCCTCCTCCTCTTCAATACTCTGGAATGTGGAAGCTTATACATCCTATATTCCTCTTCATTTGAATTCCACTTTCACCAAGATGTCCAATTGTACTGAGAATCTCTCTGTATTTTGTGTTTACCACCTGAATGGGTCGGAACTACATTGCTTGAAAGATTTATTAAAACCGCTTGTCGTTTTAATTGCTGCAGTTTTTTGGAAAGTCTATAATTTATCATACAGTGCTGTGTGGAATAACAATATCCCTTTATAGATACCTTGGATGAGTGCGATAAGTTACCGCGATGCATGCGGAGATAATGAAAAGTTGGTTGGCAAGATGAATTTTGACGAGTTCCTAGATTAAAAATGGTGAAGAAAAGGAATTGTATTTTCTTCAATTTTTATCTTTGTTTTAGTGAAATTAGATTTAAATTTATAGACTTTTCTACCAAATACTTCCCAAAAAATGTTCAATTGAAATTCGCATTGTTTTAGTGTTTTCTGGCAAAAGTCAGAAAAGATTTAAATTTTTTTAAACTTCTGACTCTTAGTAGAAACGAAAATATGAAAGCGGGCCTTTGTCAACAGTGCAGTCATTGACATGGTGATAGAATTTGATTTTCTCGTCAAGTTGACTTCATGGCGGTATTTCAGTGACCACAAAGCTCTTCATTGCCTCGAGTTCGGAAATTACTTTTATATCTGCTTTATTTTCGAAGTTAGTTGGAAGAAATTTCAATGGTTGTTGAAGCAGATGTTAACGCTATTTATTTCTTATTGGAATCCTCTACGACGCTATGCTTACCTTTTATCACTTGATTTCTGCCTTGGACGTTGACCACTGTGCTAACGTCGTAGAATTGATGAAAAGTTCGGTTTAGCCTCCTTAGGATTAACTCTTCTCACCCCTCTGTACTATTAGGCTTTAAGCAAATACGCAGACGGACCCATAACATTTGAGAAATAGAGGCAATCTTTGGTACATCCAACCGAAAGAGCGGGAATCATATGTATCACAATTTGTGTTGTTTAGAATTTGTATATAAATGTTCCCATATTTTCATGTGTGCTAAAGGATATTTGGCTTAAACTTAAAAGAAATTGATAAATTACCTTATTGAGGCTTTTTTAATTAAAGCTCCGGGATTGGTCGGAAAAGTTTGCCCTGCGATTTTTAAACGTATGCCTAGTCTCCTATCGTTATCTTGCTAGTGTTAATGCTAACAATTGTGCGTGCAACTCTGGTTTCGCGACCCCGTGTTTTACCGTGTACTAAAGTTTGCTCTCTTCCCCTCTCAGGTAAGAAAGTCAAAGGTGCCAAGGGCGGTAATCAGCCTGAACCAATATACGAGCTCGTAGCAGTTTGTAGTCACAAAGGTTCCATAGAAACTGGTCACATAACAGCCTATTGCCGAAATCTCTTCACCCAACAATGGTGGAACTATAATGATCTGAAAGTTCAAAAGGTCTCGTCTGATCAGGTCAGTGGAATGCTTTGAAATTGTAAAATACGTTATACTTATTAGAATCTAAGTAATATAGTTATTTAAAGGTTGTTCAACCGGGTGCCTACCTTCTGTTCTACAAGCGGAAAAACAGCAACGATCCGGCAGCTTTGAAACGAACACAAGAATTGGTGGAAAGAATTGCCGGTCAAGGCAAGTCACAAAAATTCAATGAAACCGCAGGAGCCACAAAAGGTCCCAAAGTTGCATCTAAACGTATGTCGATGTGGTGTCTTAAACGCCCGCGATTGTAGTCATGCCTTTTCATTGTCTGCCATTTATGTTATACTTCTTTCGCTTGTGCTTCTTATCAACAGATTGTACCAATACTAAATTTTTTATGCCTTTGAACTTTATATAAGTACGATCATTTTACTTAAATATAACATTTTCCGTTCATTTTGCCATTTTGACAGTCAACTCTATCATGCTGTCCTTTTTCAATGTTTAAAGATGATCGATTTCGATTAATCGCTTATCGCTTGAAGTCACTACAAAATACAAGTAGTTTTTATTGATTTCCCAACATTTGACTCTTTGAAGTATGGGTTCTAGAATTCGATAAATACAGTATTGGGATTTTTTTGGTGGATTTCAACTGTATGCTTATAATAAGTCAGGTCAATTTCGTAGTCTAAAGATTGACAATAAACCACACACCAATTTCAAGTGATGTTTTTCGTAGGTCTTTAGTCTTCGGATCGATGGATCGCTTGATATAAGGGTCTCCATGGACACTTCTGAGTCCTCTCATATTTACCATTCCCGACAATATTTTCCTAATAATGCTATTATTTATCGATTGGTGTCTGCTGCTAAAATGACATTAAGTGTTACTTATTAGTGTGTACTGTCATCTAAACCTACTTAAATTTACTCGAATTTCGATTTATATCTAAATTTTCTTTTTTTAATTTTATTTATATCAAATGGCAGCCTTTATAATAGTTATCATCAGCCCTTTAGTTGGCTTCAAGGGAGGAACAGTCACAAGACGCCAGGAGGGGGGGGGGGGCGAAGTGTAATTTAGAGACGTAAAAGAGACACACAAAGGTAGAGAAAAAGGTAAGGTGAGCACTGCGAAAGTGGCGTTTTGATAGTTATCTATTAGCCCTTTAGTTGACTTCAGGCTTCACAGAGAGGAAGGAACATCAAGGTGAAAAAAGTCGAGAGGGGGGGGGTACAGAAGAGTGATTGAAAGATGTAAAAGAGACACACACGAAGGTAGAAAAAAGTGAGGTGAGTACAGTGGAAGGGGTCGAATATGACATACAGTGGGGTCATGATAGTTTGAAGTCAGAAGTTAACTGCCAGTTACTAGACTTTTTGCCGTATGAATATACGTTGCTCAGGGTACACCACGTGGAGGCAAGTTTAGGCTTATTTCCCTCTGTGGAACTTTATTTTTATGAGTTCGAAGCTTCTGCTCTATGTTTGACATCTTACTTAGACGTCTAAATTCTATACTCAGTTGCAACTTCTGTTCTAACTTTGATAAAAATCATCTCTCAAGAAAAGTGTTTTATCCTAGGTATTAGCGGAGCCACCTTAAGTAGCCTCTCTCGTGTAGGGGAACTCAAATTGTATCATTACCCCGATTTCTCCACTGTGGCTAGTCATCCGCACAGCTGGGTGAATATCAAATCTCCGATCTTTGGTTACATAGTTGAGTGCAGTTTTCACTGTTTCAGTAATTTGAAATATCTATTAAAGTGGTTTTGCAATGTTGACAAGAGTATTATGGAATGGAACATTCACGTTCACAAATAGATATCCCTCCAGATCTCAGCTTTCAGGGTTTTCAATTGGCTTATACTTATATTACATATAGACCATTGCACAGCTGGCACCATAATGGAGTCTTTTTTTATTTTGTCTTGCAGCCAATGTGATCAGTCGATGACAAAAAATGCAGTACTAGATTCTACTACCTCCCATGGAGTCGACGTTGCTCACACACCCACCTGTAGGAAATACCAATCAGGCGGGGGATCTTCCTGTCGTTCGAATAACTTAGAACTATCGGCTTTTCCCTTCCCCCATCCTCCTAAATCTCTTCAATTCCATCAATGCTGTGATCTATTGTCCATCTTCGGGATCTCTGTCTCGCCCCC